TGTTTATTGGATAGAGAATTCTGTTGCAGGACATCCACCACATTTCAGACTACTTTCTAACTTCAGTCAGCATGGGAGTGGGGGCTTACTTTTTTACTTTTGCTTTTTCATTTCTGCCCTCCCTCCATTGACTCCAATGGAAGATATTAGCTGCATGCAGTTTCAGGGTTAGGATGATTGACAGCATTTCATAGAGACATGTGGGGAGAAAGAAGGGATTTTGCTGACACACGCACACCATTTCAGCCCCTGCTGCCACCAAACCACTGCTGGTGGTACATCTACACTGACAGGAATTCCCGTTGATTTGCTGATTTACTTCGATCTACTGTATTTATTTTGAAGGAATTGAACTGACGAAGTACTACAGACCCTGTTCTAATTTGCTCTGTAGTCAGGTGAAGAATGTGACATTCTGTGAAAGGCATACATTACAACCTGTTTAGAATATACAGTATAGCAATACTGTATCTTTTTACTTAGGCTGCTCTTCTAGAATGAAAGTTCAGGAAAATAGATTCCATGAAAGGATAGACATCTGAACAACAAGAGGGTCCATTTGTCACTTTTGAATAGGCCTGCAAGTTGGGAAAACGGCTTAAGTCAATTAATGCTGTTGTTAGGTTTTCCAGGTTTTTAATCTGACTTGGGGTTAGTCCAGAGATGACGTGATTTAAAAGTAGCTCCCATGTTTGACATTTCTAAGGCTGAGAATATTGCATTCTCATTTCTTTTGCTGCTTAACTCAGATAAACTGAAAATTGTATGTAAAATGGCTTTAGATTATCATCTGATGGCAGGGTTTATGTTTCACAGCAACCCATTGCATATGAGAGTCTAAATATCTCTCTACCTGCCTCCAGATCTGTCACTTGATCTATCAGTCTGTTTTATTTTCTTGTTGTCTGTCCATTAGTTAATTTTCTGTTACTCAAAAACTAAATGATTTTGTGGACTCACTGGTGTAACCCGACTTAGGTCAAATCATATTAGCACTGAGAAAAATGATGTTTTGCACTGTAACCCTGAATTACATGGCTATGCTAGCTGAGAGGATCTGGAAGCTGTGGTCCAAAAAAAGTAACTTTTCCCAGCTGTGAATCAGATTCTGTCACGAGCAACACCCAACAGTAAGTGAAAAAACACCAGTGTTGTGGATATTGGCAAGAAAGATAGTAATTTAAAAATTGGTAGCGTTTTCAAATGTGAAGTTTCTATCGCTGCTGCTCCCTTTTATGCCATGCCCATCCCATCCCATTTATGTTTCTGATAAATGGAGGTACAGTCACTGCTTGGTAAAATGAAAAACACAGATGAAGTATCGTTTGTTGCTAGAACAGGAACTTGGCTCTGTGGTATTGTGTTTAACATGCTGCTGAAGTATTCAGAATAAAACTGCTTCCTACAATTTTAAGAGACAGTTTATTCATCTAAACAGCAAGCGTATGTAGAAGAGGGTCTGAGATTGACATTTTTGGGATTAGTTTAGCCCTGCATTTTTTCTAGAGGTCGTTGTCATGGTGCTCAGGAGGTTTGTAGAATAAATGGGGCCAGCGCACTTCTAGGGACCACATGCTAAAAACGAATACATAAGATTTAATTTACTGTCTCCATTGCTAGCCTGGCCATTTTTCAGATAATAATATTGGATTAGAGCTACTTGCAATGGGTTGGCAGGATCTGATGGAAGCAACGAGAGTTGCTCGCCTTGGTTCCTTGAAATGGTGTCAGTGGCTTGTGTATTTTTATTTCTTCACAGAAGCAAACAAAAAAATGAAGTATTTTTAACTCTTGCCATAGGAGTGTTCCATGCATTCAGGAAAAAAGGGGAAATTATTTACATTGCTACACGTGTTCTTTCTAATTTTGCAGTACAGTATTAGAATGGCCCATAAAGACATGGAGAGCAGCATTCCATACATTAGCATTAAATAATGTACAAAGATGGCCAGATTTTTTCAAAGCTGGATTTGTCTGAAAAGTGTTTCTTTCTCTGGTTCTTAAATCATAATATTACTCCTGCAAATGGCTGGTTCCTATTAGATTAAGAAAAGATTATTTATACCATCCCAACAGAAATTATCATGGCAGTTTACAATAAAAGACAATAATTCATGCACCTCAGTTTCATAGACGTAACAGGGGTTAAAACAGCAAGAGAAGCACCATTATTCTGCAAATTGGTCAACATAGTATCACTCCAGGACATTGCTAGAAATTCAAACCACAGTTGTCTAGGATTGTTAGTTGAAGAAGCACTACAAGTCACCAGCAAGGCTGATGAGGATTGAAGGGCAATTTAATCACCATACTGAGAGAGCCCCTCAAGCCTAGAGATGTTATACAGTACAGTATAGTAAAAAAAGTAAAAGGGTAGACAATGGAGGTTATTTATTTATGTATTTATGTATTTATGTATTTATTTATTTGTTTATTTATTTATTTATTTATTTGTTTGTTTGTTTGTTTGTTTGTTTGTTTATTGAATTTATATGCCACCCATTTAGACATATGTTAGATTGGCTGAGAAAATTTTATGAAAAATAGTGATCTTGATGGAGGAATGTCCAGAGCTTTTTCAATAGGATGGAAAGAAGGGCCATTTGAGGATAAAGAGTCCACTAAGTCAAGAGACACAAAGATAGAAATCAGAAGAGATGAAGGGCTAAATCCACTTGTTAGTCTCATGTAGATTAGAGCCATCAGTGGGAGTTAAAGTAAATGTTACTCTCATCTGGAGAAGATCCATTGCTTCAATTAAACTTTATTTACCAAAGTTTCATTGAAGCAATGGATCTACTCTAGTTGAGAGTAAGAAGTGGATTTGGCCCAAGCCTTATTCACTGTTTGGCTGATATACTTATTTAAAATACGTATATACTACTTTTATATAAAATAAAGAGAATGGTCCTAATCTCTACCCATAAAGCAGAATTTTGTAATGTAGAATTTTAAATTATTAGAGATTAAGGCAAAACAGTAAATTGTGTGCAACAGGTGCTGTTAATAATATGTGTGGCAAACTGTTTTTCCACACCAATTTACCCCAATAAATTCTTATAGTAATTATTAGAAAAAGGTGTCCCAGCCTGTATACAGGTGAGAACTGAACTATGTATACATAGCCAAAACAAGGTAATTGACAGTCTGTCCTAAAATTTGGTTTGTAGCTATCTTCATGCCATATTAAAATATTCCAAAATGATAATTACAGTAAATTATAGACAAAAAAAATTGCTTGCAAAAGTGAACATTATCAATTATTTCCTTCTTATTCATCTTGCTCCTTTGGATTTTTAGAATAAATGTGACAAGGAATTAAATTAGTTTTTGAGGTTCCATGCCTTAGCATATTTTGACTAAGAGGCTTCTTCTTCTTAGTTTAATTGACCAAACCTGACCTTATAATTTTATTAATATTTATTATTCATTATTGTTATATAGACCAGCAATTCATTCTTTGAGATCTTGCATTTAGTGGGTATATTATTTTTTACAATTTGTTTTATGTTGGGTTATTTTTTGTGAAATTTAATTAGTATTTATTTTTAGAGCTTCTTAGTAGGAGCATATTCTCACTGAATGTATCACCTCTATATATTGTTAAAGCACTCTTGTCATGTTCCATAAAACTTTGTTGTGCGTGGAATTTATACCTCTATGCCATTGCTCTAAAGTCTGCAAGGTACTGATAACCTTCACAAATATCAGTAAATTGCTAACCATTTCCCTTCATAGCCTGCTATAAAGAAAGGGAAACATCTGTGTTATTAAGGGTATTTCAGGGTATTAATAAGAAGTCCTAGGATGTTTATTAATGTTCCCCTATTTGTAATTTTTGAATGGGTCTGTGCAGTTGAATAGCATTTTAACACTCCTTCCCTCCACACTTGTGTATTACTGCTTTTGCATCTTTTAAGTGTTGTTTGAGCACATTTTCTCATGGATTTTCATACGTGTTAAATTCAGAAGAGACAGCTGAGATTATTTCACTTTCACCTTGTTGAAACCCCTTGCTGATGTTCCGACAGATAGTAAATTGCAAGTAATTACAAAAGCAATATTTTAGCATTCTCTTTTATAAGAACTGCATGTGTGGTCATTTGATTGTGGGTTTGTTTACTTTTATCCTACAAATTTCTATAGTATCTGTCTTGTGAACAAGTAGACGTTGTCTAGAGGGGCGGGGTAAAAATTGAATAAGTAAGTAAGTAAGTAAGTAAGTAAGTAAGTAAGTAAGTAAGTAAGTAAGTAAATAAGTAAATAAGTAAGTAAGTAAGTAAGTAAGTAAATAAATAAATAAATAAATAAATAAATAAATAAATAAATAAATAAATAAATAAATAGAAGAAATCATATTGTGCCTTCCGCCATAATTACAAACTATGTTAAATTATCCATTAATGATTGGTTGTTAAGGTTCTAAGTATAAGTTTTTAACTATATAAACTCCTGCAAGGACTGGTAGGGTTTTACTTGTATGTTTTTACTTCTCTGTATTAGGACTGCAGCTGCTTTGCTTCAGATATGTGTCTTGTATTAGATTTACAGAATTAAACACTATGGCCACTATTGCTACCGAGGAAATCAAGGGAGTTCTCTGAAGGACAGAGAATAAACATAACCCATATCTGTAATCTGCTCCATAGTGGCTAATAAACATGACTCACATGTGTAATCCTATCCATAGTGGCTATAAGCAAGCTGCCAGAAATGAGACACAAGAATGATGCACACTTAAGTTCCATTTTGGAGTGACAAGCCAAATGTTGGTGTAATGGCATGGATAGCTGGCTTTCTGAGCACCTTTCTGTATCATTCTCAAGAGCTTGGAGGCCTCATGGCTACCTATTCTAGAGGTTGCCCCCTCTGTAACTGGTTATTGGTGAGAACATCTTCTTGATGTACATTTGTTAGTATTTCACATCATCAAATATCTTTCTTCTTTAAAACATTTTGCATTATCAACTGCTATCCTTTCTCCATTTCTTCTCTTACAGTCAATTTTGTTGTCAGCTTCAATCAAGCGGGAAGGAGACTCTCCAACATCGCCTCACTCCTCAGATGATATTCATCACTCAGACAGATACCAGGTGAGAGGGCTATCAGGAGGACTGAGCTGATGACTGGAAGCCAGGAGCTGCTAAGTGGTCTGTTGTGTTGGTGACACTATGACAGTCCTTACCTTTTTCAGTGCTGACTGTAATTCAGAAATTATAATGTCTCATTTGGTCAATAATATGTTCCCACATCTTGGGAACCTTATGGGAAAAAAGTCTTTTAGTATTAATATTAATGACTCAATGGACTGTTCATAGGATAGTTGGGTCCTACTATTTTTGGTGCATAATAGTATATGAGGATGCAGTTTAGATTGTTTAGAATGGGAATATTTCTGTGTAGTCATTGTTGTTAATAAAAAGCTGTCATCTGTGTACTTTATTATGAACATTAATGTGATTTATGCTATTACTTTTCAAGTGGATGGAATACAAAATTCAACAAATTGCCCCAATTAGCTAGGAAAAAATCACCACCTGTGAGTCTCCATTTTGAAAACAGTGTGTTTCTGCAACACTTCAAAGAAAATAGATTTTGCAAGTGTAAAGCGATCCAGATGTAGCATTGTCATTCACTAGTAATTGTTCATTTACACGTGAAAACACTTGATATTATAATAGGTTCTTTGCTGCTCAGTGTCCAAAGCCAACAGACAACCATTGTTTGAATTAACTCCTTTGTTTCCTACTGCATTCCACAGGCTATAAATTTTTATAAATTAGACAGAGACATTATGGGGAAAAAACTGCAACCTCTGGATTTGTGGACTGTACTATGCTAGTTGAAAGAACTACACTGTAGTTGTGCTGCTTCATGCTCTTAAACATTTCTGAGTATTGGCAAATGTAGATAAACATTCCTAACATATTCTTCTGTACACATAGAAAGATCCCAGTTTGTAAATTCTTTAGGGAGACACAAGTGGAAATTATGATTCCCTTTTATATAGAAAAATTCCTAAAGGATAATCTTCTTTTGGCTTTCCTGCATTTGAAATGGCAGGCCAGAACAGCAGAATATGAGTTTGACTAGGAAAATCCCCTCTAGGAGCCTGTCCAGCAGGATTTGTGCAATAAATCATCACCATCATCTCCCCTTGATTCTCTAGGCTGCAAGCTGAACTTTCCATGTACTAGATATATGGTCTGATTACACATTTCTTTAAAATTGCAGTGCTAGTAATTTTGCATTGCATTTCTTTATGTCATTTATAATCCGCTAGAAAGTACAATATATATTAGTGAGGTTCAGAGAAAATCTCTCTTTCTAGGGTTATTCTGTAGAAAACTTCATAAATGTCAAACTTATATGTAGATCTAAGGATGTCTAGAAATCATAATTAATCCTTGGTGGTAAATGTAACACAGTGCATGTGCAATACTCTTGTTGCTCTAGTGTGAGGCAAATCTTGCTACATCTGTGCTACCAGTAATATGGGGGGGGGGTAATGGTAAAACTCATTTTTCAATAGAATGGATAGGAATAGTGACAAATGTGACAATCAGCTGCCATTACAACAGTTTTGTTGATACATATATGGCCACCATATGGTTAAATCATTTTGTCAAGCATCTACAGAGTTGGTTAGGTCAAATATTTTAAACTTCCTTGCAGGGAAAAAAAGGACGAGAAGACCACATTCTGAAATATGTTTAGAGCCATCGTAAGTAGATATGGAACTGAGATATGACTGTTACTAAATATTGCATTGAGGCTGTATACTTGGATCTACAATCTGGCATAGCAATGGAAAATACAGTAGGAAAACTAGAAAGCTGCACCTTATTATGGATCTGATATGATGGTAAGAATTAGAATCTGTGATATAATTTGTAATCCAATGGCTATTATTGCAATTGAAGGATATATAGAATATCAGGCAACAGATATTCTGTCCGTCTTTTGTTGTTGTTGTTTAGTCGTTAAGTCATGTCCGACTCTTTGTGACCCCATGGACCAGAGCACACCAGGCCCTCCTATCTTCCACTCCCTCCCCGAGTTTGGTCACATTTGTGTTGGCAACTTTGATGACACTGTCCAACCATTTCGTCCTGTGTCATCCCCTTCTCCTCTTGCCTTCACATTTTCCCAACATCAGGGTCTTTTCCAGGTAGTCTTCTGTTCTCATGAGATGGCCAAAGTATTGGAGCCTCAGTTTCAGGATCTTTCCTTCCAGTAAGCACTCAGGGTTGATTTCCTTTAGAATGGATAGGTTTTTTCTCCTTGCAGTCCAGGGGACTCCCCAGAGTCTCCTCCAGCACCACAATTCAAAAGCATCTATTCTTTGGCAGTCAGCCTTCTTTATGGTAGAGCTCTCACTTCCGTACATCGCTACTGGAAAAACCATAGCTTTTACTATGTGGACTTTTGTCGGCAAGGCGATGTCTCTGCTTTTTAAGATGCTATCTAGGGTTGTCATCACTTTCCTCCCAAGAAGCAGGCGTCTTTTAATTTCGTGGCTGCTGTCACTATCTGCAGTGATCACGGAGCCTAGGAAAGTAACATTTGTCACTATCTCCATATCTTCCCCTTCTAGTGGCCATGATCTTAGTTTTTTGATGTTGAGCTTCAGACCATTTTTGTACTTTCCTCTTTCACCCTCATTACAAGGTTATTTAATTCCTTCTGACTTTCTGCCATCAGAGTGGTATCGTCTGCATATCTGAGGTTACTGATATTTCTTCTAGCAATCTTAATTCCAATTTGGAATTAAGGCTGTATATTGTCCCCCTGCTTATGTAACTTATGTGCAGAATACATCATGCAAAAGACTGGACTGGCGGAATCCCAAATTGGAATTAAGATTGCTAGAAGAAATATCAGTAACCTCAGATATGCAGACGATACCACTCTGATG